AATAAATATATATATCATTACACAAGTCCATTATATGAAGAGCAATGCTAGGAGCACTCGCCATTTGCACTCTTCAACCAACACTTCCATTTTCATTGGGCCACGTTATGTTGGGTTGGAGAGGTATCCATTTCATAGCCAAGCAAGCTTACGTGGCCCAATAACACACGGCTGGAGAGTGCAGGAGGCGTGTGCCCCTAGCACTTCTCTTATATGAACGGAGATATTACAGCAAAATATCACGTTACATTAAATATATATATAATATTATGTTTTTTTGTGCGTGAAATTATAATAAATGTGTAAAGAATAAACGCTCACGGGAGTTCTTTGAAATTTGGCGTATGGAAAATGGTGTGGAACGAAAATTCAAAGGCTAAATAACTAAATATTTCCTCAATCATTGATCATGTGCAGAGTTCCACATGATCCTGAAAAATAATTTTCAATTTCTATTCTGCCTGTCAATCGTTGTTCTTAGATTATTCATGCAAGAAAACTGAAAATCTTTAAAATTTTTCAGTTTTCAAATTAAAACTTGTTGCCAAGGATAAAAGAATTAAGAAGTACATACTTAAAAGAATTTATTATTTTATAATTTAAAATGTAAAATAAAAACTTTAGATAAAAAAAATATTATTTTTACAATTCAGTATAATTTAAACTACATCTCAATTTTTTATATTTTAAAATTGAGTCCCTGTAACAATAAATAGGGAATGGTGATATAATAGGCGGCGAGGTAAATGAATAAGACTCCAAGGTTTCAATTGAGCAGACAACAATGGTAGAAGGCATTTTATTCGCCAACTGAAATTGTACCCCATCTTAGATCAAAGCTCTTTCCGCTTTATGCCTCGCAAAGCCAGGAATGCATTTTACCATATCCTCATTTATTTTCAGTTTGACCGCTAGAAAAACAGGAACAGCTTCTCATAATTTTCCTGTAGAAGCAAATTTGCATAGAACATGGATGGAACTCCGCATAAAATCATTAATAGGATTAGAACAAAGTTCAACTGGTACATTAAGCTATTGGCTACTAAAGGTAGCCAAAATTTACACTTCACGCAGCAGATGCTCTTCATGTGGCTCTATAACTCAAGCCACCAACCCGTAACATCAAGAAGGAGAAAATCTGGATGATGTCTCTAAGCTTCAAAAATTACAAAATTGATCGGATGGGTTGGAACTTATACCATTCAAAAGTGAACTCCGGAGATAGACTCATCCTGGCAACTATATCATATATAGGGCAGCATAGTGAAGGCTCTTAGATTTTGTACTCCCTTTCAACTCTGTAGCTGATATCTGTAAAGAACAGAGCGATTTACTAAATTCACAGCTTGCTGGCCTACAAAAACACAGTAACTCAGCATTCTTGAATGCCTGCAGAGAAAACAGAATACAAAAATTAAGGACAGTCATATATCCCCTTGAAATTTGAAAATATGAAGTGATTCATTTTAAAAGGCTAACAATAACATGGTCAGATATAAAAGAAAATTAACAAAATTTGGTATTCATACAATTATCAGAAACGCAAACCTTTAGCCCAAACACTAAAATCAACAAATACATAAAGATTATCTGTCATTTAATGAGCACTAGAAGTTGTGAATGTAAGTATGTATATCTAAAAGATGAAACAAAAACGAAAAAGAGGGAGGGAATTTTATATCTTACTTTCATCATTGAGGTCGACAGAAAGGTTAGCAACTTTTGTCTGGTTCTCAGATGGGCAGTAGGAATGTGGCAGTCCAGGCTGAGGAGGAGAGCTTGTGTTGCTTTGACATGATTGTACATTTGAATTGTGTTTTCTCACCTGATGGTTCAAGCATACTCCCAAGGTAGAAGTTGGCTGCCCTATATTCTTCCTGCCCTTAAAAAATTTTTCCCTAATGGGAACATAAGCCAAAAAAATATAAGGAAAATCAAGCATTAATGTTGGGTGAGTTAAGGGATTGAAAGCAACTGCAGCAAATATAAGATTATGCAAGTCATCTGGGGAAGGATAGTTGGTTACAATAGGCACCTGTCCTTTCTCTTTTCAAAATATCTCTGCAATGAGACTTTTCTGTTCGCCTGGCCATCTACGTCTTAAAACCAATCAGAAAGTGTTAAGATAGATAAAGACTTTTCCTTTACAAAATTATCATGAGCTTACTCAAGGTACAAAACTGAGATCTCCCCACTGCGTCATTAGAATTTAGACATGATAATTAAGAGAATCTCACATGAGTACAACACTCAACATCTTTCTAAATTTGCTTTAATATATGGCATAGATGAACGAAAACACACAAACATACAAATGTTTAGAAACTGCAAAGACAAGAAAATCAGAGGAAAGCTTGTGGGCCATCAACAGCAACGGATAAAGAAAAGTGGGATAAAAATTGTCTATACATGATTCCTTAGTTATGCCCTTAGGTACACATCTAGTACTTCAGAGACTGAAATATAATGTTAATATTTGAATATATATAACTTGAGAAAATAGCAAAGAATGAGCAATAGTTTAAAAGTATGACATACTGAGTTCATGAGTGACATTTCCTTTTTCCCTAAACTGTTGTGGGTATTCAGCCAACTTCTCTGCAAAGTCAGATTGAAACCAAGATCAATTAACTATCAATATCTCAAAAAAAACAAAATTCCAGTATAGTAGTTCTTAGCTTTTCAACCATGTGCATCACGGTAACTATTTTTATGTCAGCAGGCAGGAAAGTTAACTCTCACATCATCAAAATAATTAGTTATCCACAGTGTGCAATTGAAGAAGTTTATACTTGTGTGCATTCTAGACAAAGATGAGGAAATTAAAATAAATAACTCACAATTATGCCTTTCAATCTCCCAATTACTATGGGACTAAAGTGTGACATGAACATATACAATCAAAGGGGGCATAACCCACATGTATCATGTAGCATAAGCACTAAGCACTGCTTCCTAACTATGATAAGCACTCCCATCAATTTGGAAAAAAAGTTAAAATGTTTTCAGAGGGGAAGGTATCGATCCCTTATGCTTCAAACTTATGGAAGAAGGTGATACGATACCTCCTCAATCTACTTGTTTACTCATTCATTGAGATGCAGCTGAAAATATTCTGATATGAAAATTTTGTTGGTATAAAAATAAATAAATAAATAAAGTGGTGAAAGAGAAAGCTCTTGATCCATTCATTTCAAATCCTACCTGTTTGAATGGTATGAGAGTTCAAGGCAGTAGGAGAAGTAAGATCATGTTTATCAGTTGCTGGAAAATGGCCCATAAATGACCAAAAGGCCCCACTCCCACTAAAAGTATTATCCTGAAACAGATCATTAGGACTTGCTGCCAAGTGCATGATTGCCCGTGCCTGCAAACCCATTTTTGGATGCATTGGAAGGCCAGCATGCTATAATTGCTATATCCAGGTATCCATGGAAATAGGAAACTGCATTACCTTATCTAGTGGCACACCATCATACACATTCACCTTGCCACAGTAGAAAATTGTCATTTGCTCACCCACTTGATTTGCTTCACATGGACTTCTGTAGCAACAATTCCAAAATTCAAATTCTTCTGTTCAGAGCTTGAAGCAGACAACAGGTAAAAATATATATCACCTATCTAACATGTATGCAATACAGCCTCTCTGTTATTACAGATAAAAGGATAATCATTAACCTAAGCACCAAGTATTTTACAAGTTTCATAGTCCAAAATGGTTTCATTTTATCACTACCATTTACCAACAACAAGATGATTTAAGAAAAGCATCAACTGTCATAAATTGAAATATATATTTGCAAGGGGATCCATTCCATTAACATTCTGCTCTTTAAAACCCAACCTTACAATTGACAAACATAATGATTTCCATTGTTAACAGATATCTTTATTCATGTTCACAATTTGAACTTCTGACAGCTGAGAACCTAAACACCAATCAATCTTATTCCAAATGATTTCTCTCATATAAAAAGTTTCCGATAAAGATTCATAAGCAAGAAGTAAAACCTTACCATTTAACAAACTTATCATGCTGCATAAAAAGTTAACAATACAACTTCATGGTTAAAAGGTTACCCCTATACTTTCATCAATTAACTGATTCCACACCCCCCCCCCCCCTCACACCAAAATCTCTCACTTTCATTTACTCTTATTTCTTGTTTGGTATACTGGAAGGCCAAAGGAGGAGGAGAATAGATTTGAATTTTGGAGCTCTGATCTGTCTTCCTAAAGAAGGAATGATAAACAACATACCAAACCTATGTCAAGTCTTCCATTCACCTGTTAATCGAGCACACTTCATGGTCATTTTGTAAGGTTTATTAATTCAGAGTATATGAGTTTGCGCCTCGTATACAACTAAACTTCCCACCAAATGATACACCATTTACAAACAGAAAAATACTTTCAATGACACTAAGTTGCATCATATGGCATAGAATTGCTTCTTCGTTCAAAACCACTGTAAACTTTCAGATCTACCAATAGTAAACACTCAAAAAATTCAACAACCCAGGTTACCTAAATCCAAAACTCACTAGGATTAGCAACTAGTTGATGCACATTACCAGATAAATTACACAAAAATAGAAGATACGTAGAAACCAAACCTGGGAGAAACGTTCTTATTATCAGCGTCATCGGCCTGGCAACCAATCTCCCCCGCTGGGGCAGATTTGGGCGGATCCTGATCCTGCTGCGTGTACGGACCACCATCATCTCCAAATGACGGTTCCCTTGCTGAATCAGACGGTTCCGTATCAACCTACAGTATCCGAACCCAGAAATTTCAAAAGCCGTTTTTCATTTCACAAAGTTAAAAAAAGAAACCAAAAAAAAAAAGGAGGACAAAAACGTACACTCACGGTCGCCGCATTTTGCGACGGAGGAGGAGGCGGCGGCGACGGAGAAACAAGGACATTTCGGAGAGCTCCGGCACCGGAATCTTCGCTACTTTCAAACAACTTCTTGAGTGAAATCACTTGCTGGATCGCCTGAGACTTGTTCCACGATGGCCGCCGCATTCCTGTAACGCCACGTGTCATTCTTCCACCTTTCTTTTCGCTTTTTGCAATAATTTATTCCGAAATTACAGGGCATGAGCATGAAAAAAATGGAGAAAGAAAGGGGCAAAAGCGGAAAGAAAAAACACAGAAAGACCTTTTTCTTTGAGGAATTTGCGACAATCTTCTCGGGTCAGCTGTGAAATGTCCTCCTCCGTGAGTTGGTTGAGCGGTTTTTCGAGAATTGACCTCACCGATGGAGTCAATCCCCCCTCCATCCCCGCCGGAGCCGCCGCCGCCACAGTGGCAGGGACTGTAATTGTTGGGATTTTGGAAGGGCAGAAATGTTCGTAGAGAGAGAGAGTGTGTGTGGGCGGGGGAGAGGGCGGTGGCCGCGGCGCGGGGGCTATTGGGGTTTATTTTGCGTTGGGGCCTTTGGGGGGTTGATTTTGAGGAGCTGCGCTGCACCCTAGGCTGCCACGTAGGCGAGGGTATGTTGTAATTATTCCCTAATAACGAAATTTGTAGACATAATTTGAACGCGAATTTACGGTTTTGACACCTTGGCACGTGGGACATGCTAATGGAAACTTAAGAAAATATCTTATTACCTTTGACAAGTGTTAATCTGGGATTGCATCGAGGAAATTGAGGATTCAATATTGTCCGACAATAGATTCTCCCCGTTGATTAAAAATAAAATACTATGTACTAATTCATATTATATGGTTTTTTTTAAGTATTAATTATACTAAAAATATTAGCAAATCATCATTTTATTTCTCAAAAAGGAATGTGATCACTTAAGACACATCAGTGATTGGATATATTATAAGATTTTTTGTTGGGTTAGTAGTCAAAGTGACTCGACTAATGTATCGAGCCCTTCGGGTCAAGTGACAATAACCACTCATGGTGCATTCCCCCCTCCCCTAAGGTTGGAGTTCGAATCCAATCCTTTATAAAATCCGTTCAAAAAAAAAAGTGACTCCACTAATAAAAAATAATGATATTTGAGTAACTTAATATCGAGTATTGTTAATATTTTTTTATTAATGATTTAAGTGATATTATAAGTTTTTTTAAAGTAAAAGAAATTTAATTTTAAATTATATAATATATAAATTTTTTTAAAAAATTTCTCCTTCCTTACTATCTTTTGTTGATCCTCTATGTGTTTGAGCCTTAATTATACATGTTTTTGTGGAAGTATGTGTGTACGAAAATGCGATGATAAAATTTTATGAGAAATATATAATGCCTTAGGCTACCCCTCTACTTTAATTTAGATAAATTTTTTAATATTAGTTTAAAATATTATTGTAGAATAAAGAATTTGAAACACTATTAAATCCCATGACGATGTGACATTTCATTTCGAATTTCAACCATTCACCAACCTCCAATAATGTATGCAACTTACTTTCACAGTTCCTTCTCTAGCTTTTTCAAGATGGGTTTTTGTCTTCTTCATTCTTTTATTATTATTATTATTTTAATATTAGAGGATTTGAATTTCATACTTACTACACTTTATATGAGTAATTTTTTATAAAATAAATATAACTATTAAACCACGAGTATGTTCTCTTTTAATTTATCCTTTTTTTGTTTCTTTACAATCGGTTGTTATAAATAATCTGAAATGTTTGAAGATTAGACGTGTTGGTCTTTCAAGACGGAATTAAAAATTTTGTAGTTCTACTCTAAATTATAATACATGTTGAAGTTGTTGATTCACAAAAAGAGAGAAATTGATTTGGGGAGGCTAACTAGAAGTAATTTTGGGTAAATTCTTATTTTTTTAAAAAAGTGAATAATTTGTTTTTAATAAAATTATAAGGGATTAGTTTTAAACTATGTGCCATATAATTTAAAGAAATTTAAATTTTTAAATAAATTAAAAATTTTAAAAATTCAAATAAGAATCAATTAGATCTAATCAAACAAAAAATTTCAGATTAAAATTTTTTTTTATCTTGATTGTATAATGAGTAATCATCTTTCATCTCTTATCTCACTTCACTCACATGTCATGTAATTCGAATTTATAATATTTTATTTTTAATGAAAAGAGATGATCATAAATATATTTAAATCATTAACATTTAGAATTAAATTATGCAAAAACGAGTTGACGGTATAAAATTTGACTTCAGCCTGCTTAGCCATCAAGAGCCTACCTAACCACTTTTTAATTTCCACTTAAATTCAAGTTACTGGTTGAAATATTCCACTCTTCAATTAATAATTTTCAGTTTCTTTTCTTTTCTTTTCTTTTCTTTTTTTTTTTTGTTGCAAATGAAGAAATTCATTCATAAATTTTAAAAAAAGTACAAAAGTTGATTCAATACACAATATAACCATTTAAATCATTTGAAAAATAAGAAGTGCAAAAAACAAAAATAAAATCAAAACAAACAAAAGCTTCGTCTATTAATACACTATATTTAATAAGTGTATCGATTACTTTATTCATTTTTCTTCGTACCTCAAGCCGAGAAGATGGAATAAGAAATCAGACATGAAAGTCCAATGGAAAAATGACTAAACAGAAGCATACGGTATCGTCTAAAGAAGAGAGCTACGAAGGGTCATTTTCCAATTTCTATGCCCAATGTATGGTGTATTGTGTCCAACACAAAACCGAGAAACAAGCAATGGTGGGTTCCTGCCACCCATTCCCAGAGACTGTCCTTCTGGTAGGGCCAATGTCCAAAACAGGCCTCTTCATGTTCAAAACAGGTCTCTATGGGCCTAATCAATGCCTACATGTTAGTACAAACCTTAGGCCCACCCTCTCTATCTTTTCCATTGGTTATTATTTTTTTTTAAAGAAATAATTATTTTACAGTTAATTATGTGCAAATTGTATATTTTATAATATACAATGATGTGCAAATTGTGTAAAAAAAAAAACTACTTAGAAATTGTATATTATATAATCATTGTTGATAGGAGGAAATCACCTCAATATTAAAAGACCTCTACTAATATATAAGATATACAATTTAGGTATGATAAATTGCATATTACTTTTTTTTTAAAGAAAAAAATTATTTAATAAGAATGCAAATAAGAATTGTAGAAAATTAAGACATTTTAACAATTAACATATCATAAATAATAATAATAATAATTAAATATTTTTAATAAATTAATAGTAAAAAAATTATTTAAAATATTTGAATAACTTCTAAATAGTTTTGATATTTTAAACATCATGATATTTTAATTTTTACTTTTCTCATACAAGTACTACTCTAATGGATA